ATATATATAACCATGTATGTATTTATATTGACATGACTTTTTTCAATCAATGAAATGTCACAAAATTAAACAACAAGTTTTCAAGTATTCGCACGCCAAAGTGAAGAAAGTGATTAAATACTGTCAAGTTCAATATTGATCGACATGTAATTTTTAGTAAATTGAATTCTATAATAATACTTAGGTCTCTACATTTCTTTTGTGAAATGTCTAGACGTTTTTTGACAAGTTCATGGCATCATGATCGTTCGAAAAAGTATACATTTCTCTGTACCATAAGTCTTTATGATTTACGCGCCACTTGAACACTTCGGAAAGTAAAGCCGATTTGATATATAAAATATTACGGTGGAGTAATAATATAAATTTAATAATACGTACTATATATAGAGATCAACACAATATATCGAGAAATCCGAATTAAAGTCTTTTTAAGACTATAAAAGGTGTACTGGAGTTGAATACAAACACTAGGAACATAATTATTTAAGGAAATTTGTTTGTTGAATGCAAATATTCACCGATTGTATTTTGAAGCTAGATGTGTTTTAAAAAAAATAATTTAAAGTAAATAATCGTTGTGGTAAAAAATGATGTTTTCTGTAAAATTCTCAAAATCAATATTAAATTTGTAACATGATTGATTGAACACAGATGCTAATTAGAGCACTATAAAGAGCGCTAACAACTAGTATTAAAAAAAACTACAAAAACATATATCACAACACTCAGATTTAGTAAAATATCAGGTAGTTATATATAAAAAATAGTAGCATGCGTGCCTGCTTGAAGACTGAAATATTAGTGTATAAAATTAGAGTATCATTAGATAAAGTATTTATTTGCTGGAAAGTGTCCTTGTGAATCCATTGAAAAGTTTCTGTCCTTGACGAATAAAAAATGTACTAAAAATAAAATTATGAATGTCAAAATTCACTATGATAATATAAAATTAAAAATTGGAAATTATCTTTTATTCTTGCAAAATTAAATATTTTCAAATATTTGAATGCGATAAAGTTTAGGATCCAAAAAATTCAAGTATGGATGCAAGTCGCACATGTAAAATACATAGGTCTATTTATCTTTCAGTGATTGAAAATTCATATGTTAAATATCAATATTTATGAATTTTTTAATTATAGTGAATTTGGACACTCAACTTTAGTACTTGAATACCTAAATGAGAATTTTTCCTTATATTCTTCTCAGCAAGGATACTTCGCCATCCTGTTGGCGGATCGTAAGGACCTGATCGTGTGTAATATTATAATGTTTATTCTAAACAATTTGCAGGAAAATTTTACAACAATAATAATACCAATTCCCACATATATAAATATTTTAACAATT